AGCAGAGACCTCCTGCCTGAGGAAACACATCTGTGGAACAACAACCCTGCGTGACAGAGCTTGTCCCGTGCTCCAGCCCTGACCCCGTATACCATCCCCTTCATTGGGAGTACCAGGGAGGAGGCTTATCCTGAACATGCAAAAGCTCATTTCTGGTGTTGCCAACATGGAACATCCTGTTGGGAAGCCAACATCTGCAAACAGCTGGATGTGATACACTGAGTAGCACGGGTGCTGCATGGCCCTGCAGACCAGGGATGCTCATACACCCCTCGCATCCCTGTCTTTCCAGAGGGAGGAAGGACCAGGGAAGCCCCAGAGCTGGCTGGCTGTGGTGCTGTGGTGGTGTGAAGCCCCACGCAATGATCTCAAGTGGTTTCCAAGCCATAGGGGTGTCCTTCAAGACTGATCTTGGAGGTAAAGCAGGGCTGATTTAGCTGACATGGGAATGACTGAGAGAAGACGTGAGGATCAGTGCTCTGTAAGGCTGCTCTGAGGGCACGGTTGGGACACACCATTATCAGTGGGGGCTTTGCCTTCCGCTCCAGCTTGTTCAGATGTATCTGGGAGAGGCACTGACTGCTCCTGTGGTAAGGATGGTCTAAAAGGAGGCAGGAGAGCTGGGGCAGAGGAGTAGCAGGGCAGAGGCAACATGATGAGCAGGTCTTTAGCAAGGAGTCCGGATGGAAGTGACCCTGTAAAGTGGCTTTCAAGGCTTGGAGAGAAGGGTTGGGTGAAAATAACAGCAAGTTGGACCTGCTCCCATCCAGGACAGAGTGAGGGTTGTCACTGCACATCAGCAGGCTTTCATGGCATGGCAGGAGTGGAGGAGCTTAGCATAGATGGGAGCAGAGGCATGGTGGAGAGGCATCTGCCCAAGGCCAAGACCCACCACAGCATCCATCCACAGGAGCGCTGTGGTTGGAAGAGCACAGATCTCCCTCTGGGATCACGTTCAGGAGCCTTCAGGGAGCTAAGGTGGGCAGAGATGCCCTCAGCACCCCAAAGCAGGAGAAGCAAAGACCTTGGTGCCTTCACCTCAGGAGATGGTTCCCTGGTTAAGGAGGGTGCTGAGGATGCCCTGGGGTTAAGTCACCAAGGAGGTAACCAAGAGGACCACCAGCTCTTAGGATACACATGTTCCTGGCCAAATCACGCTGAGCAACACCTGCTGCTGAACCAGAGCAGACCTGTTGCCCTCAAGACAAGTTTAATGGCTTGGGATGCATCCTCTCAAGAAAAAAAAGTGGGAATTGCATCCATTCTGCCCCCTGGAAACAGCACCGTGTCCGTACTCTCCTTGGGCAATGCATGCAGCTAGTTGACACAGCCATGGAGCGTACTGGTGTAACCAACTGGGGACAATCAGCTCACCCAGAAACTTCTGCCTAGCACATGGACCTGCAAACATTCCCAGGTGGGATGCAGGGAAATCCAAGCTCTTTCTGTTCCTTGCCAGCTCTCATTCCCCTTTTCCAGCCCACACCAGCCTCATCCCCCCCCCACCCAGGAAAGCCTGGAGGCAGCTCCACACATGCAATCCCAATGCCTTCTGGAGATCTTTGGTCATGCTGCTCGTGAGCAAGCCATAAAGTGCCACTGCAGGAGGCAGGAGTGGGATGGGTTGGTCCTTCCATGGGCAACAGGGCTCAAGGGGACACTGTCTGCAAGGGGGTTTGGTGCCACACAAGGATGGGCAGAGGGGACTTCAGCTTTAACCAGGGGACAATCAAATCCCAGCTCAGGATGAAGGCAAGCATCAAAGCAGGACAGTGACACCAGGATGCTTTGGTAGAGTCTATCCCGAGTAGATTGCCTTCCTAGAAGCTAAGCCCCCCTATTTCCACTGCAGCCAGTAAAGGCTCAGGAGGTGCTGAGCACCCTCCACGTAGCGCTCGGTGCTCAAACACAGCATCAGCTGCTACTGTGCATCCCATTCAGCAATACAGAAGCCAGAGAACTCCCTTGCTCTTCATTTACTCACTGTAAATAGAGAGCTGGGCTGTTCTTTACACCCAAGTACACTTGTCTCCGTAGAACGCAGCAGCATAAGAGCAACAACTTGATTCCTATCTCGAGCGCGGAAGCTCGGGAGGTGATCTCACCCCGGCAGGATGCCAGCGACAGCAGGAATGGTGCTGCCACGAGACGGTGGCAGAAGCTAAGTGGGACTGTGTGAAGCACAACAACGTGCGACGGTGGCGGCGTTCACCCCCGGGGTGAGACAGGAGTGCGGGCTTGGCATCGGAGAGCGACAGCAACCCACCTCGATGTGACGGTGAAGCAGAGCAGCCCTGCTCGCAGCAAGGGGGAACAGGGGCTGCTTAGACCTTCCCTGGCATCAGGATAACCTGCTTAGATCAAACCCTTATGGATGGGAGGTGCTGGAGCTGATTGGTGTCCTCTATTTGCTCAAGCCTGGAGCATGACTCAGCTGCCCACAGTGGGTGATGTGCCATTAGAGGTGCTCAAGGTCATCCCGCCTGGCTCTCCTATGGATCTTTAATAATATTGGGCAGTCCCATGTATTGGGTATCCCAGAGCATCTCCAGTTGCCCACATGTGGGTGATGTGCCACAAGAGGTGCTCCAAGCCCCTGTGTCCAACCTGGCCTTGAACACTGCCAGGGATGGGGCAGCCACAGCTTCTCTGGGCACCCTGTGCCAGCGCCTCAGCACCAGTAAAGAATTTCTTCCTTAGATCTAACCTGAACTTCCCCTGTTTCAGTTCAAACCCATTCTCTCCTTGCTGCTCCTGCTCCATCCCAAGGAGCTCTGCAAGCCCCTGATGGATGCACTGAGAGACCATTGAGTCCCCGGGCAGCTCAGCACCATTCAGCAATCAGACAAACCCCTATGCCTCCAGGTTTCACTGGGTCCATCGTGACACCCTCATTCCTGGCACCACTGCAAGAAGAAGGTGATGGAGCAAAGCTGGCAGGCTGGAGGGCTTGGCTCACTGCTGCTGACTGCATCCAGGGATGTGGCAAGGCCAAGCAAGCCCCTGCTTCTCCTGCTTGTGAGAGAAGGAGCTCTCCTGAGGTGTCCCACAGGGTGATGCCCATCCCTTGAGTGTTAACACAGCAGGGAATTGTGGTGGGCACCTCCTCAATAGCACATCCTTGAAACTCAACCACTTTGGGTGTTCTTGAGATGCTGGTTTCTGTGATGGTCAGAGGGAAATGAACCTTAACATCAGTGGAGCCAGGAGGAGCACAAATGGAAATGACCCTTCAGGTCCTTGGACCCCTCTTATGGTAAGGACACTTGCTGTTAGGTTTGCTTTTCATGTGGTGGCCTCAAAAGCACCATATGACCATCAGAGTCTAAACCTCTTGCTATTCTTTGTGCTCAAGGGCTGCAAGCACAGATGCCTCACAACTGCTTTGGGAAGGGAGACAACGTGGGTTTATCTGATGTGGAAAGCGAAGCACAGGAAGCCAAGGTGACACAAGGCAGCAGATCTCCAACCCTGACATGGTGGGATGTTTGACTCCATCTGGAAGGCCCAGTGTGTGAAATGAGGAAGCTCTAGGATTTGCCTGGCTGAGTGTGTAAGTTTGTGCAGCACATGTGGGTGTCTCCTCTGGCATGGCCAAGTCTGCTGCTGGGTGGTACCAGCAGTCAGTTGCACTCCTTCCTCCTTAGGGTGTGCAGATGATGTCCAAGAGCACTGGAGCATCTGCAGCGCTCATGGAGGAACCGTTCTTCACACCCTTAAGGAGTCAGACCTGACCTATGCATGGAGCTGGTCCTGGAAGAGGGGCTTAGCCTGGGTTGCCCTGTTGTTTCCCAGACTGATAGGCCAGCTCCAAAGGCAGAAGTGGTGGGAAAAGACAGGTACCATCAACCGGGATCTTGAAATGCCCTGGCCTCATCATACATCTCCATTTCCTACAGCTCCAGGGATGGCTGCCAGCCACCAGCAGCTCCTGCCCAGCAATACTGTTGGCCTTGGCTGGTGCTTAATGGCACTGACTGAAGTCTCCTCTCTCCTGCTCAGCCTCTTTGCTTTGTTGTGGAGCTCACCACAGCTCGAAGCTCAGACCTGGTGATGGAGAGGGGGAGCTTTTGGGGAAGGGAACATGGGAAATGTGTCGCTTCAGGGCTTTTGTTTGGAAGCTCCTCAATGCCCTGGGCTTCTTCCTTGGTGTGCACATGGAATGTGATCTGGCCAAACTCTCCCTGGAGTCCCCTCATAGACATTCCAAAATGTCCCAGTGATAGTTCTACCTTTGTTCTTCTAGCTGCTCCCTAGGGCAAAGAGCTGCAATTCCCACTTGCGTTGATCCTTTGGCCTGTGACCAGTCAGTGCAAACTCTACTTCCCACCAAGTTTTATCTCTTTACTCTGAATCACAGTAAGAAAGTGTCCATGAAAGGGAGGACCAGGCCCACTTTGCCCACCTTTTCCAGCTGAATACTGGTTTTTGATGCCCGCACCATTCCCAGTGACTGTGCATACAGGATTTGGTTATTGTTCTGCCAGGGCATAAGCACTTGAGTGATCTTAAGCATTTTCTCTTCTTATTACTGCTTTCATGCTCAGAGTTAGTAGCTGAGTATTTCCTTAAGCTAAGCCTGGGTTATCCCTGTCCCTGGAATGTGTGATACCACTTGGGATTGCTGTGGGATGCTGCTTGAAATGGCTGTACTGAAGGCTAACTCTCACCCCGTTGTGATCTAGTGCTGATGCTGATGTTGCTCACTGCAACTCCTGAGTGAGGCTTGGATGCGGTTTTGAAGGAGACCCTGGACCAAGAGAGTGCACCAAAGCATCACTCATTTGGGAATGGGGCAGCACAATCGCCCACTGTTGGGGTAAATTGCTAAAGCTTCAGTTTGCATAAACATCCCACAGGTTTGGAGGCTTCCCCAAACCTTGATTCCATTGACTTTGGGAAGGAAGAGGGCTCTTGGGAGAGGAAACTAGCTTGGATTTCCAAGTTTCTTTCTTGCTGTAGCCAGCTTGAGTATATGGTAGGAATAGGGGGACCACGGCAGAGGTGGGAGGGTATTTATTCTCCCAGGGTTGAGAGTGGAACACAAGCCAGGAGAGGAATGGAACTGCAGGAGGAAAGCACAATGAAATGAAAACACAGCTCTGCTGAGCCTCCAAAGAGGCTCCCGCTGGGTGATCATTCCTTGTTGGCTTATGTTACTAGGACAGGCTCATCCTGCTCCTCAAGGATGTCCTGACCTCTTGCAACCATGGCAGCCATGGGCTGGCAAGAGGGAGTCATCTGGTAGAGATATGTCTGGTTTCACTGAAGTCAGTGGCCAACCCCGCACTGACTTCACTAAGACCACCGTCTAGACAGGATACTTGCTGCAGACCAGTGAGCTTGCTCACGATCCCGAGAGCTTTGCTCCGTTAGCCAATGTGGCTAAAAATGCTCTGATTAAAACCTGCCACTTTGAACTGTTTTGCTGCTTGGGAAACCCAAAGATACCAACTACAACCCTCCAAAACCACCAACCGAAGAGGGGTGAATTGTAGGAGAGGGGATGGCAGCTTCTAGCGAAGTAACAGTCACGGCAGATTACAAAAGAGCCAACTGACCCTCACCAGCTGTACTAGGAAAGAAACCCAAAGGAGATGTAGCATTATCCATAGAAAAACAACGCACATCCACAGTTATTTTACCTACGGAGCACAGAAGTAGAGAGTAAGGGTGGTGGAGCTCGGTGCGAGCAGGCTCACACCGCTCCTACGGTAGAGTATTATCCTTCGGAAGATCACTGGCTTGAGTAGGTAGCACATGCACAGCAATACAGAAATCAGGTCGTATTGTCTTGGTGCCACCTCAGATCTCGGTGGACTCTATTCGCTCCAGTCTGGAGGGCGTCCATGGTTTCTTCTCCTCGGTGTGCGGGGGGCTGGTGGCCTTTGTGTTCATCTCATTCACTTTATGCTCCAGGAGCTGGTTCTTCTGGTACATCTCCACGTAGTTCAGTTGCAGCTGCTTCTGGTACTTGATGACTTTCTCCTTCTCCTCCTGCCACGTGCGCCGCTCCTCCTCAAAGTCCATCACTTGCTGCTCCCGCTGCTGCCGCTCCAGCTTCAGCTCCGTCTGGAGCCGCTCCACCTCCTTCCGCAGCGTGTTGACGCTGTCCTCGCTCTGCCGCTGCATCTTGGCTTCATCGCTCTCACAAGCCAACGGGTCCCGTAGCTTCTCCCCAGCATCCCCACCAAAAGGTCCCGGAGGTCCCACACTGGCAAGTGTCCGCTTCAGGCTGGAGACCTCCAGCTCACAGTGGTTCAGTTTTTCCCTCAGCACTTGCACCTCGCTCATCTTGCGCTGCAGCTCGCTCTCGCAGATCTCCAGGTTGACGCTCTTGGAGCTGTAGGAGTCCTTCAGGGTGAGGATCTGCTCCTCCTTCTCCCGTAGGAAGTTCTTACCTTCCTTGAGCTGCGTCCGCAGTCCCACGATCTCGTTCAGTTTCTGGGAGACGTCCGCTTGGGAGTCCTTCAGCTGCTGCTTGAGCAAGGAGATCTCGCCTGCCTTCTGGCACACCTATGGGGAGAGCATCCATGAGGCAGGAGGAAGGCAGAGAGGAGGTGTCACTGCTGCTTGTCCCCTGCCCTGCCCATGAAGCATCTATGTCACCTTTCATTGGCAGGAGGCTACGTTAATGGAGAGGACAGGCAGCGATGCTGCTCAAGGACTGAGTTCCAGCCTTCACCAGGACCCAGACCATGCCAAAGACATAGAGGTTATCCCCACATCTGGGGGGAGGTTTCTTCCTGTCTCTCAGGGGCCTGATTCTGTTCCCAGCTGGAGCTGACCAAGCAGCTAAGCTAAGTGCTGTGGTCCTCACCAGTGGTGAGTAGGCACTGATGCTTCCCTCCCTGCATTCATCTCACTCACCTAACCACAAGCTTGTGGTGCTTTCCCCCAAACCCTTTGCTCTCAGATGGAGTTTTCCGACTCACCTCAGTGGGATCTGGAGCTTGAACAAGTCTGAGACAGAAACATCACAGACCCAGAGAGCCCCTGGGCTCTCCCCAAGCACAGGGAGTGTAGGACAGGATGCAGAGGCAGTAGATGTTACTTACTTGTCCTATGATGCTTTCCTTCCCAAAGGCTCCTAAAGAAGCCAGTTGAGTGAATATTAGGGTTCACTTCACTGGGGACAGTCCAGAGACTGGTAGCTATTTAGTTCTTCTGGGGCATGGCATGAAGAGCAACAGCTCCTCTGCCAACAATCAAGGAGAGAGCTACAACCCACCCTTGCTGAAATGGGACTAGCATGGACTGTCCTTGGGTATTGGATGCTCAGATTCAAATCTGAACCTCCCACCAGTCACCATGCGGTAAGGTACACAAAGCCAGTGGAAATACCCTCCCTGCAGTGTGTATTTCCATGATGTAGGTGTCACCATTCAATGTGACAACCCCTCTGCACCTGCGTAGTCCATCAAAGGTGACAGTTTAATGAGTAGTTGTAGGTGTTGGAAGTGAACCGTAAGAAGTGACCAAGCCCTCCTTTTCCCATGAACTCCATTGTTTCCAGGGCTCTGCACTGGCAGATCTGATCTGTTTGCTGTGGATAATTGCAGAGACAAACAGTCCCTACGTGAGTCCTGGCAGGAGCCTGGGCTGGGGAGCGACACCAAGGAACCACCAGTGATCACAGGGGATAAGCATAGTTAGAAGTAGACTTGGTAGCCACCTCCAGACCAGGGTGAACTGTCCTGAAGCTCCTGTCTGTTGTCACACAAGAAATACTTGGCCTTTTCTCCCTCCTGCAGTGCCTACAAAATTGATTGCCTTTCTGATCCTGTTGGATCAGTGTTCCTCAAACAAACTCCTCTCCATTGACTTCATTGCAACCTCCACCTTTCTCTGCTATAGAGGGCTTGCCTGGTGCATAATGTTGAGCAAGACCTTGAAGCTCAGCTATTAGGACACTCTGGTGCTTACTACAAACTGCCTAAGAGCTAGGAGATGTACCCACAGTCTCCTACAACTACCTACTGGCAGTACCTTCCCCTGGAGATGACAGTCGTGGTGGTTGCCCATGCAGACTTGACTCTGTGAGTACCTCCATCCACATCAGCACTTTGCAGCAGCAGCAGAACAGTATCATGCTGGTTTAACTGTAGTTAGAGTGCTGTAGTTACTGCTTAGCTAAAATCTGCACAATTCGCTGAAAGTGCTCTCCATGGGCTTGGCTCTTCCCAAAAGGCAGAGAAATACATGATGAAGAACAGCTTGGATAGGAACCAATTTACAGATTAAACCACTTAAATTTAGGCCTCTTCTTGGGTGCTGTGGAGATCTAGGCAATACAGCCTGTGGAGCCTGGAGAGCAAGTCAATGAATCAATAAGTGTAGGTGTCTACACATTTTAGGTGTCTTGCTCCACAAGCTGGATCCCTGTCTTTTACATCCATATCACTGGGTTAGCTGGTGCAGGCAGAACTATAGCAGTGAAGCAAACAATCAAAAGCTCATCTATAGTTTTACTGGTGAAGCAGAGAACATTCCAGATTTAACTTGTTGGAACACACAAAAGACCTGTGCAGAGCAGCTGGCCAAAGGAGGCATCAGATGGGACAATGCAGCCTGTTTGTTCTGGGATGTAACACGCAGAGATTTCCCAGCAAGCTTCTAATAAGCTCTGCTGAACATCTGCAAACAGCACATTTCAGAGCCTCTTTAATCCCAGCTTCATTGACTTTCCATCAGGATTAGCAGAATAGGCTCTTCTGGATTCTAGAGCTACGCTTTGCCTCTGCACCCTTAATAAAGTTAAAGTTTCTAGCCAGTCCATGGAAGGATTAAAATTCTTCACATGATCAAGCTGAAAAAAGAAGTGTGTTAGCACTGGCTATGCAAACAGACTTCCATCAGATGGCCTAAAAATAGAAACAGTAGGAAAAACATGTAAGAAAAGGAGAACTAGAAAGAGGAATTCGCCTTTCATCCTTTTAGGAGAGATAAACTCATTAACAAGTGGAAACAGAGTGTTATCATGGAAAGCGTGAGCTAAACTGTCTGTTGGCATCATTCTTGGCTCTCTTGCTTTATATCTTAAGTAAAAAAGGATCAAGTATTTGCAAAGCAGTTTCAAGGTTTGCCCCAGTGCAGGTGTTAGAAGAATTTAATTAAAATGGACTTAAACCCATTTGTGGTAGCACAAATACCTGTATGGAAAGATCTGTGTTCACTGAAACTGGGTTGAAGTATCACAGGGTGGAGTGACCAGAGTGTGAAGCCAGATTATTGACCAGCACAGGAGGTGTCCACCAGAAGTTGTGCTCATTTTCGTTTAATTGAGAATTATAGGTTTGGTGTCACACAAACGAGGAGGTAACTGAAGTGTCATCTGTTACATGGAGCCCACCAACCCATACCCATTATCTGCGGGATCCACTTAGGGCAAACGGGGTGTCACCACTCAACAAGAACCTCACTCAAGGTCCGCTACAGCAAGGCTCTTACCTCCCACTTGGTCTCCTCAATCTTTGGGAGAAACTCAGCCTGCTCCTTCTTGAAAGCCACGAATTTCTTCTCCAGTTCCTCTCGTTGCTGCAGGAGTTGTCCCATGTCATCCTGGAGTTTTTTTTTCTCCTGTTGGAGCTTGAAGATCTGGAGCTGCAAAGCTTGCTGAGCCCGCTGTGCCTTTTTGGAGACCTGCTGCAACTTGTTGGCGTAGTTTTGCCTCAAGTCCTCCATTTCCCTCTCCCAGATCTTCTGCTTCTCCTCAAACACTTGGAAGATGGCTGCCTCGCTTTTGTCCAAGTTCCTTCGCATCTGGAGCACCTCCTGCTCCTTCTCCCACAGCCGGTCTTCCAAGTCTTGGATGATATCGTCCGTGGAAGGCGAGTGGAAAGGCATTGTCTCATTGAGATGGTTCAGTCTGTTGAACGAAGAGGTGCTCTTGCTCGAAGACCGCCCACTGTCTGAGGTAGATATCCCGTTGTATCCCACGATGTTCTTGTCCACGTAGGTTGTACCGATGCGGTTGATGTGGCTGGTGGAGGCGCTCATTGGACCCACATGCTGGCTGTAGCCTGTCCCATAGGTGGGCAAGCTTGTCAATGAGTTACGGCCTGAATCTGAAAGGCCCCCCACTTGGTTTGTAGTCCTGTTAAGGCTGCTCTTGTCGAGTCCACTTTTGGGTGCGGACGGGCTATTGCTGTTGGCATGGTTCAAGCTCTTTCTGTTCTCTGTCACCCCGTTGCTCTGCGGCGGGCAGAGGTTCTGCATGGAATGGAAGTTTTTAGGAACTACTGGTTTAAAGGCTGAGGGTCTAACTAAGGGCTCATTGCTCTGCAAAAAGGAAAAAGGACCACGCATCAAACACAGCAGGAAGCTTGGAAACAACACACACAAGAGATACATCGGCACGGGAAGGGGGTGATGGAGCCAAGATGGCATGGGCTATCTCCATATTGCTCAGACTTATTACACCAGAAGCCGTCTGGGATTTTACATGAGGGACCTGTGGTCACCTATAGGGCAACACTTTGTCTTCCCTTACCCCAAGTGAGAAACAACCACCTTGATTCACCCCAAATCTGTGTGATTTTTTCCTTGGGTCCCCTTAGTGCTGTTTGCAAGAAGAAGGGCTGTTACTGGCTTACCAGACCTGATCAAAACAACTCTGATTTTGGCAGATTATATTTTGAAGCACTTTTAGCCCTGAGAGTGCATTGTCCTTTAGTTGAAAACTGAACTGAACCCTTGGATTAGCTGTTTTGCTCCAGGAGCATCACGTTTCCCTCCTGACAGTGGTGATATCTCACCTCTATGGACATCATGTCCTATTTATGCTTGGACAGGAGTAGGAAGGAACTGTGACCCCAGCCGTGACACTGTACAAGGAACATGCTGAAGCTGCTCTTCAACTAAATGTGTTTTCTAGGGGAATAAGCAATGCTGGGGGGAGAATGGATCACAGATGTAAAGGATTTAGGAAGTATTTTAAGACATTGCACATTCCTTGCCCTGTGAACAAAATTTTCCTCAAAATGGGATTGAGTCTCCTCTATTGCAGGTTGGGTTTCAGGTGGGAATTAACCCAGAGGAAGCTCTTTTTATTAGCAAAAATGATCAGCAAAGTGCCTTCTAGGAGAAACAGAATGAGCCCTGGAGAGCAGGCAAGGTTGGAGACCAAAACCCTGTTACCTGGTATGCGGGACAGAGATGGACTACAGGGACCAGTGGATTAACAACCCAGGAGGAAAGGCCACCATATGCTGCAGAAATAATACTGTACAAGGCAGCATCCCCAGAACACATGTTATTAGGCTGTATAAACCACTGCTGGCACTGGGGCTTTGCTCCTCAAACATCAAGGGGGTTTTTGCTCCTGAAGCCAGTATGAGCCACAAAGACTGGTTTTAGATGGGCAATAATGCCCATAGGAATAGGTTTCAAGCCTTGTTAACTTGCCCCTCACAAGGAGCATTGGTATTTTGAACTGGGATTATAGTTGCTTTCAAGCAACAACTTTTGGTAGCAGTGGGCTGTTGGATACAGCCTATAAATGGCATAAAACCCAAGAGTGGGACACAGATGCTGGACCCACTAGAAAAGAGCCTGCTTCAGCTCCCTCTTCATCAATCAGGGAGGTAGGCACAGCATCTCGGGTAGGTTGGAATAGCCAATCACTTAAATGAGCTGGAAAATTAGCTGTAGAAGACTTGTGATCATGCTCTTGGGCTCCTCAAGAACTAACACTCCCCCTGAAAGCAGTAAGAGTTAGCATCTAGGTAAAAGCGATGCCATCTACATAGCAAGAATTAGGCTGCCAGGATTGCACCATTGCCCAAGGCTTCCCGGTCTGTGTTTTAGGAGGTGTGCCACGGTCACCAGGCTGCTCCAGGAGGTGGGAATTCTCACCTGGTCTAGTTTGCCGGAGATTGGCAATATCTTTGGTGGGTTGTTGGGCTCTCGGTATTGGGGAGGTGGCGGCATGTTCTTCTCGTTGTTGGTGGTCACGTTCCCACAGATGTCCATCTTCACCTTCTCACTCTTGCGCAGGTCGCCGTTGATGTAGAGGGAATTGGAGACCTTCTCTGTCTTGTATGTCTTCTCCTCGCCGGAGTAGCGGTTGGAGATGTCCCGTGTGGAATACCCATTGCGAGAGCCCTCCGTCTGCCGGCTGCTGCTCTGCGTCCGGGTGCCCACGCTCTTCATGGCAAACTCCTGGTCGTTGGCGACGCCGCTGCCCACGCTGCCCATGGTGCTCTGAGAGATGGGTTGGGATGGCCGGGGAGAAAAACTATGGAAGTTCTCCGGGATGGGGTAAGTCGGGTCACTGAGAACGGGCAGCGTGTCTAGAGTGGCCATGGCAGTGTAGAGGTGAGGTGGAGGCACAGGTCAGTGGCACTGGGAGAGGAGGGGAAAGGAAAGGACTGTTAAAGAGATGCCTTTTATCTACCATACCCTTTGCAGGTCAACATTGTGCAGGGACTAAAGCAAGATTTATGGATAGTGGGAGGTACAGATTTCCTCCTGGATAAAAGATGGATAACAAAATCAATGCCCTTCGGAGAAACATTCAATGATAGGAGGGCTCAGACAGGGCGATCAGGTAGGGGAATTGGAGAAACCCCCATTTCAGTGGGGTTTCCCTTCTTCTTGGGGTAGGGATATTAAATCAGCCCTCCCCAAGTAAAGCAGGAGAGCTGGGTTATTTCCCTGGAGAGCTAGCCCAGGTCTGGAGCTCAGCTCTGATGCGGTGTCTCGCGGGCTCTTGCTATTTGCACTAATAATGGAATGGAAAAGAATTATAAAGGTTAAAGCAGGGGCTGCGCTGCTCGGCTTGGCTTTTATTGCACTGCATTTCTGGAGGTCTGCAGCCTCCTCCCTTTTCCCAGCATCCTGATCTTATAGAGAGCTGCCCTGGCTGAAATACGGTCCATGTGTCATGGGGCTGGTAGACAGACTGCTGCGCTGGAGGAGAGGACACAGAGCTGATACCTACAGTGAGCTGGGGCAGAGCAGGGTACGGAAGGGGTCACAGAGGGGAAAAGCTGTTTAAGGAGGTGCTCTGGTGAAAGCCATCATCCCACCGGAACTCATGGAGAGGCATGAAGGAGCCTCCATGGTCTGACACACAAGGTGGGCTCCATCATGGACAGGGATAGGGCAGATGTGAGGCAGCAGAGGATGTGCTTTGTGGTTTAACCTTCTCCATCCCCTTTCACATCACTCCACACAAGGAGGGTCCCCAGGGGACTTGTCTCACTGAACCACCGGCACATGAAGTGATGTTCACCCAGTGGTGAGCATTTTGTAGTCATTGCTAATGGCCTTCCTGCAGCTGTGTCCCCCAACAGAGACCTCTGCGTGTCACTGGTTGAGGTCTGATGACCAAACAGCAAACAAATACCACATGAGCATTGCACGTTGTGAACCTACCACAGTCAAATGTGAATGTTATCAGTTGTAAGTACCAAAACCTCCATCACCGATGTCTGGGTCTGGGCATGCACCCAGAGTGTGACATTTGGATGTTCTCTTGAACACACTGAGCAGGACTCACAACCCCATTGCACCCTAAAGGGACTTCCCAAAACACACCACCATAGACAGTTCAGGAGTGCATGACACCAGGGATTAATCTGCTGGGCACCTGGGAGACTTGGTTGGGCTTCAGAGTGATGAGGAGGGATGAGGAACACCCATCTGAAGCTACTTTCAACCCATGCTGCCTTTAGATGTCGTTAGTGAAGGGAAGGCTAATTTAGGAATAAGCAGCCTTTGAGTGATGTTGGGATCTTTATAGGCTGTGTCCTATTTTAATGGGACATCAGCCACTACGGGAGTGATGTTCTGAAGGTCTCAGCTCCAGACAAAGGAAAAGCAGTGGCCTCATGGCCTCCATGCAGTGGAGGTCATGCTCGGCTGAGGAGGGAGAAATCCCGGTTACCTTTTCCTTGCTGGGTAAATTCCACAGTGACATCTGCACATTTACATCGAGTGTTTGAGGGCAGGATGAGATCACTGGGAAGTTTGATCCTTTCCCCCAAAAACCCCAACCAACACAACAAGAAGCGCTATGAGACAGGGAAGACAAATGCCCTTAAGCTGGGTGAGAGTCACAGGCTGTGCAGAGTCATGGCAATGTCCTCCAAGACACGAGACAGAGAAAGGAGCCCCATGGCATCTCCATTGAAGGTCTTCACCAAGGGTCTTTCTTTGCCTTTGTGGACATCCTGGCTCTCAGACAGTGATTTCCATATCAAGGAGGCTTCTGCTTAAACCCATGTCCCAAGTGCACCAGGATGCTGAGCCAGTGTTCCCATTCAGTGCCAGCAACCCAAAACCTGGGCAGGCTTCAGATGCCTTCTTGGGCTACGGGATCAAAGCTGCGCCATAGGGGCAGACTCTAAAAATGGACCTTTTCCCATGTTTTCTTTTCCTACTTTTTTTTTTCCCTTATAACTGGGAATCATCCAAGAGAATATTCTGAAATAAAATAGCTGTTGGCTTATGTTTACTGTAAACCCAGGATCTGATAAACAGAGCATACGGGCAAGCATTCCAAACATGTTATTAAGGAGATTCCAGAAGCGCCAACGGATCCCTGACAGTCCAGCTTTGTTTGCCAAAAAGGGCCATTTCTTCAGGAACAGCTCTTGCTGTTGTACCTCCTGTCCAGCTCCGGTTCCCAGTCAAATTTTACCGTGGTGGTTCCTCAGGTTAACTGTGAAATCCAAGTTCTGAGTCCAGAAGGAGGTAAGGGAGGTAAGGAAGTGAGGTAAGGAATGATGCAGGGATGGAAGGTTGGGGTTTTCTCCTTCCTTGTTTGCAGGAATACGTGATTAAAACCTTCCCCAGGACATTTCTCCTCCTTAAATCTCGTAACTGCCTCCCTCCCATGGGAACATGGGCTAAAATTGGGTTTATGGATGATTCCCAATGAAACAAGGATGCTGAGCCTGGCAGTTCATCAGCACAGGGGGGGCTGAGGGAAGCGAATAGCTCATCTTTACCAGCATTTCCCTCCCAAGTCCATCCCTTAGAAGGAAATGGGAGTCACCTCCAAGCAGGACTGGGCTGGAAAGAGACCCCCAAGTCACATCAGAGGGGCAAAAGTGGCTTCTCCTTCCCTGTAGTGGGGTTGAAAGGCTCCAGACAGGCAGAAAACCAAAGCAAGAATTGAAGCAACCTGCCAGCCACTGCCCTGTCCAGGTGTTTTATCTTTCCAGATGTTACATCCCATCTGCAGTGGTGAGGAGGCACCGGGACCACCTCACTCTTCATCCTCACCAGGCTCTCGAGAAGACACCGGGTGCATCCCGCCTCCCGAGGAGAGCAATCTCCACCCAAATCACTCCCAAGTGACATCCATCTGTCCATCCATCACAGCAGCCACCACAACCCAGAGCCAACACTCTGCCCTTGCTGAGCACTGCTCCTCAGAGCCCCGTGCTTACAGCAGGAACCCAAGTGAAGGGACTTTGTGCAGACACAAAGGGGAAGGAAACCCTTCCAGAACAAACACTGAGCTCATTTCCCACTTCCCAGCATTACTGGGGTAATAAAAGCTGAAAAGGGTTTATTTGTCTGCCTGGATCAATCCAAAGCACCCTTCTTGGTAAACGCCTTACCTAGGAGAGGTGACATGTTCCATCAGTACAACCAGTCTCCCCTCTGGCTGGGGACACCAGGACTTCACACAGCAGTGCAACTCCCCACCATCTCTGTGTTGTACAACCTTCCTATCCCATCCCATCCCATCCCATCCCATCCCATCCCATCCCATCCCATCCCATCCCATCCCATCCCACCTTAGTGGCGCTTTGTTCTTCCCCCACCATCCCTGCCTTAGAGACAGCAATATCCTTATGCCTGATGCAAACAACCTGGGCTGAAATCTCCTTTTCCCTGGCTGCGATGGGTCCACTCTTCATAGCCACCTCTTCCTACCATGCCTGAAGCTCCAGGGGACCCCAAGGTGCTATTGTAAATACAGTATCTATAGAACAGCTCCTGAATCTTCATACTTGCTTTACCCAAGTGACTTAGCAAACACCTTCCAGTTAGGCAGGAGAAAAATTGCTTTCAGATAAGCAGGTGAATGGTTAACCAAGGCCAGATTAGGAAGGCCTGGCTCTGTTTCTGCCTGAGTAGGTTAATTGTTAACACTCTAGTAACAAAGGCCTTTGGGAGACATACCTAGGCACTGTGCCATGCGAGAAGGGAATCAATCAGTGCTCGCAGCCCCAAAGCAAGGCAGTGCATTGGCACACGCACCAGCCCAGGCATGTGCTCCTGGCAGGATGGGCAGCAAAGGCATCTGAAGGTCAAAGATTCCACCTCCCCACCAGCAATTGTGGCAACAGGAGTGTCCCTGACCTTCAAGAGTGGAGTTTGTTTGTGCCTGGTTTAACGGGTAAGCAATTACTGACACAATGAAAACATGCTGCTGCTTTCCTGCCTTCCTTTTTCCTCTTCTTCTGTTGTTGTTGAGAGGCTTTTTGCGGGCAGGACCTGCACCTGGGCTGTCATCAGGGCTTTGGTGGCTCCCCAGTTTGTTGCCAGAGAGCTGGAGGTAAGAAGGCATGACGTCCTAGGGTGGTGGAGCAGGTTAGAAATGGAGTAAAAGGGTGAAAACAAGTTTGCTGTGACTGCTGTGATAGGATGAGGGCTGATGGTTTTAAACCCATTAAGGCTGCCCAGGGAATTGGTGGAATCAGTGTCCCTAGAGATGTTCAAAACCCATGTAGATGAGGCCCTCAGTGACAGGATTTAGTGGTGGCCTTGGCAGTGCTGGGGTAACGGTTGGACTCGATGATCTTAAAGGTCTTTTCCAACCTATGATTCTATTTCAACATATGATTCTATGAGTCTAAACTAAAAGAGGGAGATAAAGCTTTTATAGTGAGGGTGGTAAAACCCTGGCACAGATTGCCCAGAGAGGTGGTGGATGCACCATCCCTGGAGACATTCAAGGCCAGGCTGGATGTGGTTCTGGGCAACCTCATCTAGTTGAAGATGTCCCTGCTCATTGCAAGGGGTTGGAACTGGATGAGCTTTGAAGGTCCCTTCCAACCCAAACTATTCTATGGTTCTATGAGAGGGAAGGGAAGGCCAGTAACGGGTTAGCAGTGAGAAGACTGTAGGGAACAAAACCACCTGGGGCTGGTGAAGCATTAACAAGCCCTGGAAAAAAACAACTGCTGAAGCCCAAGACGTGATGTCACACTCTGCCAGCATATCCATGGGAGGTGTTTGAGTCTCAGCAAAGCTTCCAGCACCTCAAAGGTTGTTGCTTGGGTTGGTGCGGACATCCTGTGTTCCCACAAGACACCTCCAGCAGTGATGGCGAGGGTTGGACCTGGATGATCTTAAGGTCCTTTCCAACCCAAACTGTTCTA